TAACAATGTGCCATTATAACCATATTGATGTGTGTGCGTCAACATTGTCGTGCAGCCGTTAGAGACCTGCCTGCCCCGCTCTGTCCTCGCGGTCTGAAGCGCTGTGCTCCTTCAACACCTGCTCCGCAGCTGGTCTCCTCCCTCAGCCCGCTGTTCGCCGTTCCTCCCTGTCTCTGACTGCTCTGGGAGATCCGTTGAATCCTGTGATGTTGTTCCTTTTGTGTTTGCCTTGCACGGGGCCTTAATGGTTTTGCTGGGCATTTTTTTTTTTTTTTTATCATGAAAAGATCCTGAATTTTGTCAAATGTCTTTTCTGTGTCTCTGCAGGCAGCATATCAGTGTGTAATGCTTGATTGATTTTCTTTATTTTGCTCTACCCTTGCATTCATGGGACAGGTGTTATTTGTGTAATTTTTAAAAAAGGTTTATTCATTTATTTTTATTGGAAAGTCAGATTTACAGAGAGAAGGAGAGATAGAAAGATTTTCCGTCTGCTGGTCCACTCCCCAAGTGGCCGCAATGACTGGAGCTGCGCTGATCCAAGACTGAAGCCAGGAAGTTCTTCCAGGTCTCCCACACAGGTGCAGGGTCCCAAGGATTTGTGGTGTCCTCGACTGCTTTCCCAGGCCACAAGCAGGGAGCTGGATGGAAAGTGGGGCAGCCAGGATAGGAACCAGCACCCATATTGTGTCCTGGCACATACAAGGCGAGAATTTAGCCACTCGGACACCACACCAGGTCCTAATTTGGTTCTTAGTATGAAATCACAACTATACAGAGAAGACTAGCACGGCCACTGTGCAAGGGTGACATGCCAGTTCATCAATATTCTACATCTTTAACACTTCAGAAACAGGAGCAGTAAGATCAGATCTGATGTATAGTATGGGGATTATGCTTTACACCATATCCTGAAAGTTGTTGAAATAACAGATTTTAAGTGTTGTCATTATGAAGAACAAAGTGAAGTAATGCATCATTTGGTTGTGTTCGTTTCTCTCATTCTTTTTTTTTTTTTTAAGATTTATTTATTGGGCCCGGCGCGGTGGCGCAAGTGGTTAAAGGTCCTCGCCTTGCACGCCCGGGATCCCATATGGGCGCCGGTTCTAATCCCGGCAGCCCCGCTTCCCTTCCAGCTCCCTGCCTGTGGCCTGGGAAAGCAGTCGAGGACGGCCCAAAGCTTTGGGAACCTGCACCCGCGTGGGAGACCCAGAGGAGGCTCCTGGCTTCGGATCGGCATAGTATCGGCCCGTTGCGCTCACTTGGGGAGTGAATCATCGGATGGAAGATCTTCCTCTCTGTCTCTCCTCTCTGTATATCTGACTTTCAAATAAATAAATAAATCTTATTTATTTATTTATTTTTTATTATTTTTTCATTGGAAAGGCGGATATACAGAGAGGAGAGACAGAGAGGAAGATCCTCCATCCGATGATTCACTCCCCAAGTGAGCGCAACGGGCCGATACTATGCCGATCCGAAGCCAGGAGCCTCTTCCGGGTCTCCCACGCGGGTGCAGGGTCCCAAAGCTTTGGGCCGTCCTCGACTGCTTTCCCAGGCCACAGGCAGGGAGCCGGAAGGGAAGCGGGGCTGCTGGGATTAGAATCGGCGCCCGTATGGGATCCCGGGCGTGCAAGGCGAGGACCTTTAACCACTTGCGCCACCGCGCCGGGCCCAGTTTTCTTAATCTTGAGACATTTATCTTTTAAAATTCTACCTGCCCTCGTTTATGTTGGCCTACTAGAGACTAGTATTAATTGGGTCTAAATATAAAGGCCCTGCACTTCGGAATGTGGGGTGATATTTAATAATTCATGTTGGTTACCTGAATATTGGTACAAGAAGTCCGATTACCAGGGTGGAGGGTGGAAGTAATGAAATTGACTATAACTACTGAAAGATTATTATGTAACAACCATCATCACGGAACTGTCTGCCCCGTTCTAGCTTTCTAGATTATCCACTGTGTGTGTTCTTTACAGATACAAGAATGGCTTTCAGATTTCGAATTTTTTTCCAGTATCAAATCTACAACAGTTTTTAATCATCAGTGAATGTTTCTTTGTTCAATACTTCCCCTTTGCTTTGCTTTCTTAAACTTCCTCTGTTGCATGTATTCAGTACTTGTCATGTTTCTCTTGATTCTTACGTTTAATCTTTTGCATTAGTTTGTGTTATAATTAGATCCTGGTTCTCAACTTTATTATTCCTGGCAGTTATCTGGACTACTTATGAAAAATATAGTTTGCAAGGTTCCATATCTGAGATGATTCTGACACAGGCACCAAATCTGACTTCTTAGAAGCGATTTTGTTGACGTCCTTGAGAGAGAATGTTCTGATCCGCTAGTTCACTCCTCAAATGAACCAGTGTTGAAGTTGGGAGCTGGGAGCCAGTCTAGGTTTCCTACGTGGCAGGAACTCAGTCCCTGAATCCACCTAGGGATCCACATTAGTAGAAGCTGGATTTGGGAGCTGGCGGCAGGTGTCCACCCCAGGCACTGTGATAAGGGACATGGGTGTCCCAGCTGGGCCCGAGGCGCCTCCCTTATGTTTTTGAACTTTTTGAAGAACAACAGTTTCTTCAAATATATAACATGACCCTCAGAGGATACCTGGCACCACAGCAGAGGTCAGAACAAATCAATCAACTACCCCAGCCATATGTTGGCAGTGAAAAACTGGGCAGACGGAGGCTCTAAGGTGGACTGTGTCAGTCAGCGGATTCTGCAGCGACCTCATCGTGTTTGGAATGGTGAGAATGGCAGCAATTTATAACTGTTGAACTATCAAAATGACTTGAGCAAGATAATTGGAGCATGCCCCATGTCAGGGACCTGGGATGGGTGGGAGACTGGGTGGGGCTTCTCCCTTTACTTCCCCCCTTACCCAGATACAGGAAAAAAGCAATGTGGAAGTAACAGTCTTACCCACTTTCCTGTAGCCCTTGAACCTTTGTGCCATAATTAACTATGTAAAGACTGTCAAAAATAAAGAAAAAACAAACAAACAAACAAATATATAACATGAACCACTTTACATTTCCAAAAGTGTTGAACTATTCCTCCTATTCCTCCACATTCTCATTTTAAAAATTATTAAAGTCATCTTAGTGACTGAAATGTAAGTTTGATTTGCGTTTTCTTAATAATCAGTAGTGTTGAACGCAATTTCGTTTGATGTTGGCCATTTTGTGTACACACTGAAAAAATATTTGAAAGGCACAGTTAGGGAGAGAAATATATCTTTTATCTTCACTCTAAATGGCCACAGTGGTGAGGGCCGGGCCAAAGTCAGGGTCAGGAATTCCACCTGGTGTCTAAATGTAGGTGTTGGGGCCCAAGTACTTGGGCCATCCTCTGCTGCTTTCCCAGGCACACTAGCAGGGAGCAGGATTGGAAGTGGAGCAGCCGGGACTTGAACTGGTGCTCACGTGGGTTGCCAGGGTGACAGGTCATGGTTTAAACAACTGTACCAAAAGGTCTAACCCCATATACATTTGTTAGAGATGTGTCTATGCAAGTTCTTTGTCTAGTTTATATTTGAGTTGACTTTTTGCCCTTGTAACGTTCTTGGTATAGTCTCAGTACAAGACCCTTAGATGTGTGGTTTGCAAATATTTTCTCCCAAAAATTTCCTTCAGGTCTCCCGTTCCTTCTTCTTCTTCTTTTTTTAAAGGTTTATTTATTTTTATTGGAAAGACAGATATACAGAGATAAGGAGATATATAGAGAAAGATCTTCTGTCTGCTGGTTCACTCCCCAAATGACTGCAGTGGCCAGAGCTCAGCCGATCAAAAGCCAGGAGCCTCTTCCGGGTCTCCCACACGGGTACAGGGTCCCAAGGCTTTGGGCCGTCCTCGACTGCTTTCTCAGGCCACAAGCAGGGAGCTGGATGAGAAGTGGAGCAGCCAGGACATGAACTGGTGTGGTCCAGGCTATGACTTTAGCCACTGGGTTATGTTGCTGGGCCCCAAAAAAAGACAGCTTTAACTTCTTTTCAGTTTGCATTGCCTAATTGTTCTGGTTAGGACTTGTAATGCTGTGTTGAATAGCGGTGTTGTCTGTTCATGAGGGATACCTCTTTTCTCTGTTTCTTCATTAAACTGGGTTTTTCATAAATGCTGCTTAAATGTTAAGGGAAATTTATTCCATTCCTGGTTCACTAAAACCCCCCCACACACATACAACGCCACAAGTGTTTGTGCGCATGTGTGAATTTACTGTGGTAAAATTTATACAACATAACAATGTGCCATTATAACCATATTGATGTGTGTGCGTCAACATTGTCGTGCAGCCGTTAGAGACCTGCCTGCCCCGCTCTGTCCTCGCGGTCTGAAGCGCTGTGCTCCTTCAACACCTGCTCCGCAGCTGGTCTCCTCCCTCAGCCCGCTGTTCGCCGTTCCTCCCTGTCTCTGACTGCTCTGGGAGATCCGTTGAATCCTGTGATGTTGTTCCTTTTGTGTTTGCCTTGCACGGGGCCTTAATGGTTTTGCTGGGCATTTTTTTTTTTTTTTTATCATGAAAAGATCCTGAATTTTGTCAAATGTCTTTTCTGTGTCTCTGCAGGCAGCATATCAGTGTGTAATGCTTGATTGATTTTCTTTATTTTGCTCTACCCTTGCATTCATGGGACAGGTGTTATTTGTATAATTTTTAAAAAAGGTTTATAAATAAACCTTTATAAATATTATTTTTATTGGAAAGTCAGATTTACAGAGAGAAGGAGAAATAGAAAGATCTTCTGTCTGCTGGTCCACTCCCCAAGTGGCTGCAATGACTGGAGCTGTGCCGATCCAAGACTGAAGCCAGGAAGTTCTTCCAGGTCTCCCACACGACACGGGTGCAGGGTCCCAAGGATTTGGGGTGTCCTCGACTGCTTTCCCAGGCCACAAGCAGGGAGCTGGATGGAAAGTGGGGCAGCCAGGATAGGAACCAGCACCCATATTGTGTCCTGGCACATTCAAGGCGAGGATTTAGCCACTTGGACACCACACCAGGTCCTAATTTGGTTCTTAGTATGAAATCACAACTATACAGAGAAGACTAGCACAGCCCCTGTGCAAGGGTGACATGCCAGTTCATCAATGTTCTACATCTTTAACACTTCGGAAAGAGGAGCAGTAAGATCAGATCTGATGTATAGTATGGGGATTATGCTTTACACCATATCCTGAAAGTTGTTGAAATAACAGATTTTAAGTGTTGTCATTATGAAGAACAAAGTGAAGTAATGCATCATTTGGTTGTGTTCGTTTCTCTCATTCTTTTTTTTTTTTTTAAGATTTATTTATTGGGCCCGGCGCGGTGGCGCAAGTGGTTAAAGGTCCTCGCCTTGCACGCCCGGGATCCCATATGGGCGCCGGTTCTAATCCCGGCAGCCCCGCTTCCCTTCCAGCTCCCTGCCTGTGGCCTGGGAAAGCAGTCGAGGACGGCCCAAAGCTTTGGGAACCTGCACCCGCGTGGGAGACCCAGAGGAGGCTCCTGGCTTCGGATCGGCATAGTATCGGCCCGTTGCGCTCACTTGGGGAGTGAATCATCGGATGGAAGATCTTCCTCTCTGTCTCTCCTCTCTGTATATCTGACTTTCAAATAAATAAATAAATCTTATTTATTTATTTATTTTTTATTATTTTTTCATTGGAAAGGCGGATATACAGAGAGGAGAGACAGAGAGGAAGATCTTCCATCCGATGATTCACTCCCCAAGTGAGCGCAACGGGCCGATACTATGCTGATCCGAAGCCAGGAGCCAGGAACTTCTTCCAGGTCTCCCACACGGGTATAGGGTCCCAAAGCTTTGGGCCGTCCTCGACTGCTTTCCCAGGCCACAAGCAGGGAGCTGGATGGAAAGTGGAGCTGCCGATATTAGATCCGGCACCCATATGGAATCCCGGTGCGTGCAAGGCGAGGACTTTAACCACTACGCTATCACGCCAGGCCCAGTAATACCTTTTAATGATGAAAACATTTGGCTTGAGGTTGTGTGTTAGGTTAAACTGCTGCCTTAGGCTGTGATAGCTGCATCCCATTGCCAAGTCCTGGTTTCTTGGCTTCCAGTCAGCTCCCTGCTGATGTTTCTGGCTAGCAGCAGAGGACAGCTTCAGTGCCAGGGCTTCTGCTGCCCATCTGGGAGATCTGGATGGTTTCAAGGCTCCTGGGTTATGCCTGGACCAATCCGAGCCATTGTGGCTTTGAGTCTTCTCAAGTTCTCTCAGTGAAATAAATTAATTGATATAATTCAGTGTGACTTGCATAAGTAATTATGTTAGAGGATAATACTTTTCTTTGAGTCTTATGCATGTTATGTATGTATTATATATGCAGCATGTATAGTGTATAAAAATGACTTGTTTATTGAAAAGGTAGAATAGCAGAGTTGCAGAGGTGTACCCATCTGCTGGTTCATTCCTCAAATGCTGGCATCAGCCCGGACCCAAGAACTCCATCAAGAGCCTCCCAATGGATGGCAGGGATCCAGGCACTTAGGGTAACATCTGCTGCCCTCCCAAGCCCAGTGCCAGGAAGCGGCACTGGAAGTGGAGTAGCTGAGAATCGAACCTGCACTCTGACTGGGATGTGCGTGTCCTGAGCAGTGACTTCCTGGGCTGCATCAGAATGCTCATGTCCTGAGAATATTTTCAACCCTTTCAGAAATGTTTTGGGCAGGTGCTGGTTTACACCAGGCATTGTATGATAAATTCATTTGGTTGCTTTTCTACTTTAAAAAAAATATGTTTTCAAAAATTTTATTTTTATTGAAAAGGCAGATTTACAGAGAGAGAAGGAGAGATAGAGAGATCTTCCTTCTGCTGGTTCACACCCCAAATGAATGAATGATTGAGGCCTGGAGGAAACTCCTGGTGCCTGGCGTGTTCTACTTAAAACCATACCAGGCACACACGTTTTTGTTAAGTATTTGTTAAGTATTTGTTGAATGAATTTTTGAATTCACTCTTCACTAATTATACTTGTATAAGCTTGAACAAATATTTAACGTTTCAAATTAGTTTATTCAGTTGGAAAATGGGGAAGGAGAAACCATTCATTCTACCTCCTGAAGTTATCATTTTGGGTTAAATGTGCATTTAAATGTACAAACAATAGCGGAGTGGATATAGAGGAGAGCAGTGAGAACCAAGGCCCAGGGCAGGAGTAAGGAAATGCAATTTCTCAATTTTTTAAAGATTTATTTTTACTTGGGTCCAGCGGCGTGGCCTAGTGGCTAAAGTCCTCACCTTGAACGCGTCGGGATCCCATATGGGCGCCAGTTTTAGTCCTAGTGGCTCCACTTCCCATCCAGCTCCCTGCTTGTGGCCTGGGAAAGCAGTCGAGGATGGCTCAATACTTTGGGAGACCTGGAGGAGGTTCCTGGCTCCTGGCTTATGATCAGCATAGCATCGGCCATTGCGGGCACTTGGGGAGTGAATCATCGGGCGGAAGATCTTCCTCTCTGTCTCTCCTCCTCTCTGTATATCTGATTTCGTAATAAATAAATAAATCTTTTAAAAAAAAGATTTATTTTTACTTGAAAAGCAGGTTTACAGAGAGTAGGGGATACAGAGAGAATGAATCTTTCATCTGTTGGTTCACTCCCCAAAAGGCTGCAGTGTCCAGAGCTGAGCTAATTTGAAGCCAGGAGCCAGGCACTTCTTCCAGGTCTCCCATATGGACTTGGGCCAGCCTCTACCACCTTCCTAGGCCATAAAGAGGGAACTAGATGGAAAGTGGAGCATCTGGGCCATGGACTAGTGCCCATATGGAATGCCAGCACCACAGGCGGAGGCTTAATTTGCTCTGTCACAGTGCCAGTCCCACTTAGAACTTCTTTAACAGTGATGATAGGGAGTACACTCTAAGAAGACACTGAAGAGGAAAGCTGCATCTAATCTTTTATTTTTTTAATTTTAAAAAGATTTATTTTAGTTTTATTGAAAAGTGAGATATACAGAGGGAAGGGAAAACAAATAGGATTCACTCCCCAGGTGGCTACCACGGCCAGAGCAGTGCTGATCTGAATTCAGAAGCCAAGAGCCTCTTCTGGGTCTCCCATGTTGGTGCAGGATCCCAAGGCTTTGGGTTGTTCTTTCCCAGGCCGCAGACAGGGAGGTGGATGAGAAGCAGGGCTGCCAATGCGCATATGGGAGCCTGGTACGTGCAAGACTAGCACTTTAGCCACTAGGCTACTGCAACTGGGGCCTAATCTTTTACTTTTTTTTTTTTTAAATTTATTTTTGTTGGAAAAGCATATGTACAGAGAGGAGGAGAGACAGGAAGATCTTTCATCCAGTGGTTCACTCCCCAAGTGAGCACAATGGCCGGTGCTATGCTGATCCAAGCCAGGAGCCAGGAATCTCTTTCTGGATCTCCCACGCGGGTGCAGGGTCCCAAGGCTTTGGGCCGTCCTTGACTGCTCCCAGGCCACAAACAGGGAGCTGGATGGGAAGTGGAGCTGCCGGGACCAGAACCGGCACCCATATGGGATCTTGATACCTTCAAGGTGAGGACCTTAACCTCTATGCTATTGCGCCTGGCCCCTAATCTTACTTTTTGATTTGAGAGGCCAAGAGAAACAGAGGAAGCTTCCATTTGCTTTTTGATCTCCTGAGGCTGGGGTTGGGAGCCAGCCATTTGATCCAGGTCTTTCTCATGGGTGGCCAGACTCCACTCACTGCAACAGTGCTGTTGCCTCGCTCTGTCTGATTGATAGGAAGCTGGAGTCGGGCGTCAGATCCCAGCATTGACTGTAGGCACTTGTGGGACACCGGGGCCTTTTTTTTTTTTTCCTTTTATGGTGTATTTGACGGGGAGACAGCATCTCCCATCTGTTGGTTCAGTCCTCAAATGGCCGCAGTGGCCGGGACTGCCAGGCTGCAGGCAGGAAGCCAGGTATGTTCAGGTCTCTATGTGGGTGTAGGGACTTGTTCACTTGGCCCACTTCCTCTGCTCTCCCAGGTGCATTAGCAGGAAACTGCGTCAGAAATGGAACAAGAGGACCTGAAGCAGTGCCCCTACAGAATGTTGGCATTGCAGGTGGTGGTCTATTCCGCTACATCATGATGTTGGCCCCCACAAAGGTCTTAGTCGCTAGGTTAAATTTCCACTCCCCGATGGGCCCAGTTTTGAAGGCCTTGGAGAGCTTGTTGTGTAGCTAACACTGTATTTTGATTGAACTGGAAGCCACTTGAGTATTTAAATGGAAGTGATATTATGTACATTTAAAAAAATGTTACCGTGGCTGGAAATTGGAAAATCATGATAAAAAGTGAGTTGCTGGAGCCGTTGTGCAGCGGGCTAAGCCTCTGCTTGTGGTACTGACATCTCCTGTTGGAGGCCTGACTCAGGTCCAGACTGCTTTGCCTTTGGTCCAGCTTCCTGCTAACCTGCCTGGGGAAACAGCAGAAGGCCTAGACTCCTTGACACTCACACATGTAGGAGACCAGGGTGCAGTTCCTGGTTCCTGGCTCTGCCTGGCCCAGCCCTCACTGCCGTGGCCAATGGGCAGCGAGCCAGTGGATGGAGGATCTCACTTTTGCTTTGCCTCTTCATGCCTCTCTCTCCCTTCTGTGTTCTGCCTTTTAAATAAATAAGTAAAAGATTTTTTTTTTTAAATTTAATTTATTCTTACGGAAAAGGCAGACAGAGAAGGAGAGACAGAGAAAAACGCTTTCCATCTGCTGATTCCACTCTTCAAATGGCTGAAATGGTTGAAGCTGAGTGAATCCAAAACCAGGGGCCTTAAGTTTTATCCATGGGGGCCTGGTTGTGTGGCCTAGCGGCTAAGTCCTTGCCTTGAACGGTTCTAATCCCAGCAGCTCCACTTCCCGTCCAGCTCCCTCCTTGTGGCCTGGGAAAGCAGTCGAGGACGGCCCAAAGCCTTGGGACCCTGCACCTGCGTGGGAGACCTGGAAGAGGTTCCTGGCTCCGGATCAGCTGAGCTCCAGCCGATGCGGCCACTTGGAGAGTGAATCATTGGATGGAAGATCTTCCTCTCTGTCTCTCCTCCTCTCTGTGTATCTGACTTTGTAATAAAAATAAATAAACCTTAAAAAAAAAAAGTTTCATGCATGGGATGTCAGCGCTTGAAGGGGTAGGGTTAACC